GATTTCAATTGGTCTTCCCATATGCTGTGCAAGTCCTTTGATGCCAGAGCCAGCACATTCTGCTTTTGCATCTGTGAAAGCAACAGTGGCAAAAGAAAATCCTAAGGTGACCAGAAAGACAACACTAAAACAGAAAGGAGCAACTTAAATGGAAACAGGCCTAAGCTCTCCTCTCCCCATCCAAGATCTACAGTTAATGCGGAGTGTAAAACACACTTCAGGAAACACAACCAAGAGCAGGAGTTGAAGGTGGTAGAAAGAATGGACACTGTAGAAGTGACAAGCTGAGGTTGCAACCTTGGGGGATAAGAAGACACACACAGAGGCACACACAAAATCACCCTACCAAGTTTCTTCCAAAGGTCCTCTGGAGTTTATCATGATGCCTATTTTAGAATGTAATAATTCCTGTAGTGCCCGCCACAGCAAATACCCTACGCACTGCTTCTGTGTAGCAACTGTACATCTCCTGAGAGCAAGAAAAGGTTTTCAAATCGGCAATGCTACTTCTGCTTCTACCCAAAGGGACAAAGAGTTGCCTAACAGATGCATTGGAGCGGAACAGAACTTGCTGATTCAGTTCAAGTACAAAGAATGCAAGTTGACTAGATGCTTTTAGAGGCCTTCTGGAAGAAGAACAAAAACCCCCAAAACCAAGAGATGCCTACTGATCTACAGAAAGTCATGGAAAGCTTAGCACAAAGGCTTAGAGAAAAAATCCTCGCATTGTACCACTTTCTCACGTGTCCTTACAGAGCCGGTGAAACGCTGGGTCTTACGACAGAAGCTGGCAGGGTCTCAAGGCCAAGCTGAAAAGGTAGCATGGATCTCCCAAAGTCCGGTCTCCTCTCTCACCTTCCACCACACATCTCCCCCCTGACCACAACGTCCATCCTATCCATCACCTGCCATGTTTAACCCCCGCAGGCAGCCAGGCACCACACAGCCACTTGCTCGCTCCCCCCTGCTGGGATGCGGGAGAGAATTCATCAAATGAATCATGCTGAGGAACAGAAGTGTCTTACACACCACCACACCGATACAGAGCACACCAGCAGGGGAATGAGGGAATTTACTGCTTTTTCTCTTGAAGGTGCCTTGCCCTAAAACCAGAAGCGTATTTGTCAGCCGAGCTGTGCCTACCTAGCCCACCTGATCTTTTCATCAATTACCTGCACACAAAAAATTCACAGACTAAACCAGCCATTTACAGAAGACGAAGCCAGTCATGTACCTGCTGGTGGG